AATCCGTTATATTGACAACTTCCACCAGAATATCACTGAGAATGTTTCCTTTATTGCCTAGTGAAAAATGTAGCCCCTTCTTTAAGAGATCTGTAGTTTCGGAATCCAGAGGGATTGAAGATAGATTTATTACCTTCTACCTTCTTCCTACCAATATGAAGAAGTTGCGAAAACAAGGTCAAACTACTTCTACACAACGAAAGGAGACTGCGACCGCACAAAATGCCACACCATCTTGGTCTTCATACCTATCGTAGAGCATGCTGTCCTACTCTAACTATGTCTGTTGCATGACGGATGATAGCTCTACGTCAAGTCCTTTTTCCGTTTCTGGTACGGCCTCTTCAAATCAATTGCAAGGAATGCCAAAAAGGAATAATTTAGTCGTAGGTGGTGTGGCCTTCTATTTGGTCGCCGTCTCCTTTAGATATTACAACGCTGGTTTGGCATCGCATTTGTTACTTTGCCTGAGCATCAGGCATACCTTGTCGAACGTACCCAGTCATGCGTCCTCTGCCATATTATTCGTAATTTCCAGCATCGGACTTGTCGCTGTGCTAACGATGCTGCCTCTCACTGACGCTTCCGACTAAGATGCCGCCGAGACGTTTGGAAATGCACCAAGTCAACCATGGTCCGATGCTGGAAATCACGAATAGTATGTCAGAGAACACATGACTTAATAAGTTCCATAAGGCAGTATAGAATAAGTTAGATATGAATACCCAACTGTTGTCGCCTCTGTTTTGGTAGTAGTATAGAAGTGTTGTGACCAGATTTTCGCATCTTTGTCGAGTTGTCATTACGACCCAGATGAACGCACCTTGCTCGGAGCCCTCCGCTACAGCATTTAGGAGGATTCTCAGCGTTGGACCGGCCAAAGTATTGACGAATTGTAGCTTAGTATGCACTGAGGATGCCGTTGAAGTGGGTGGGAATGTACCAAGGCAGTGGTCCGATGCTGGACATCGCGACAAGGTAGAACCAACATTATAAGGATGGATAGTTGAGTTTTTACCGCAACGAGGTCACACGACATCTCGCCTCGCAACAGTTCATCTCATCTGAATGAAATTCCCTTTCATCGTGAACCAATTGTGGAAAAAAACTCGATTATTAGGCCTTAAATCTCATTTAGTTGACTAGGCTGATAAATTTCAATGCAAAGCCTAATTATATCTGTCGCTCATGTCGCTGTTGGTCTCATGCTAGGGCCACTATGGAGTAAGTAAAAAGATCATTGTTACTTATACATTCATAGAAACTAGGCGTCGAGACTAT